GCACAGGCTGGCCCTGGGCAAGCAGCAGGGAGGCTGCTGGCATCAGGGATTGGTGTTGGGTGTGTTCCCTGAGGCTGGGGGCTCCTGCCCATGTGAGCACCACCAGGGGCCTGGGCCTGCCAAGGTGCTGCCTGATCCCCTTCCCTGTCCTCAGAGCCTGCGACCACCCTCCATCCGGAGCCTCTGCCCATAGGGGCCTCAGCACCTGAGAGCCTGGCCCTGCAGGAGACCAAGCCACTGCTGCTGGTATCCGGGGAAGAAGTGAGGAGCAGGCCTAGGGGGACTCTGCCCGCTGACCGAGGGGACCTCTGACCGCAGGCCCAGGGCTGGGCTACACCCGCTGGCCCAGGAAGGTCTAGGTCTGCCCACTGGCCTAGGGGGGCTCTGCCCGCTGGCCTAGGAGGGCTCTGCCCGCTGGTCTAGGGAGGCTCTGCCCGCTGGTCTAGGGGGGCTCTGCCCGCTGGCCTAGGGGGGCTCTGCCCGCTCGCTGGTCTAGGGGGGCTCTGCCCACTGGCCTAGGGAGGCTCTGCCTGCTGGTCTAGGGGGGCTCTGCCTGCTGACCTCGGGGGGCTCTGACCACAGGCCCAGCGCTGGGCTACACCCGCTGTCAAAGCAAGCCAATAAACCAGCTGGAGAGTGGGAAACATGAATGCTTTGGGCTCCCCCTGGTCCAAGGTCCAAGGTCCTCTAGCTGCTTCCCTAGCCCCAGGGGCAGCAGCTCCCCAGAGGGGCCAGAGCCCAGCAGTGGGAGGGTTTGGGGTCAGGAGGCACTGAGCAGCAGAACAGGGGACCAAGGGAGGGGAAGGGGCCACGGAGAAGGGAGGACCCGCTTCCATACACATGGGCTGAAAACACCCTGAACACTGAGAACAGCCCCCCAAGGGCATTTGCGGGGCAGGATGGGGGGAGGGGTTGATGACCACGGAGGAGTCTGGTCCACAGACAACCTCAGAGACAGCCCTGCCCCCAACCCCACACAGCCCCAGGAGCATCTGGGGGCCCCTGACCATGGCAGAGCAGGCTGAGGAGTCAGGGATGAGCTGGTGATGACCCCAGAAAGCTGAGGGGTCAGCGGCCCAAGAGCAGCCCCCTCTCACTGCCCTCGTCTGCTCCCGTGGGCTCTCTCCGAGGCTCCAAGCCCCCCTCACCAAGATGGCAAGTAGACATTTCCAGGGAGATGCACCACAAGCATCAGTACAAGGAGCTCACGACATCCCCACGGCATTGACCCCCTTCTCACCTGGCCTGCACCTCTCTGAGACCCCCAGACTCCAAACCTCAATACCGCCCTGGACTCCTCTCTTACTCCCCCCCCCAAAGTGGAATCAGGCACCAGAGCACGCTTGGTCTGTCTCTAGCCGCATCCTGGTGCCTAGGACAGAGTAAGCGCTTAGTAGGTGCTTCCTGCTGGCTTGGTCAATTGGCCCACATGCCCCTCTCCCAATGCACGCAACCTCCCTGACTTTACCCTCATCACCACCACCACCCCCTCCCCGGACTCCTGCAGCGGTCTCCTCAAAGGAGACGTCACCCTGCCTCGGCCTGTCTCCTCTCAAATCCACTTTCACATATCTGACCCTAGAGGGTAAGTCTGACCATGTCACTCTCCACCACCCCTGGGATGAGGTGCAGACGTCTCTGTTTAGTAGCCAGAAAGTGTAGCCTAGTAGCAGGACAGCCGGCATCAGAGGCAGGGAGGTCTGCCAGGCAGATGCTGGCCAATGACTGACTGGCTAGCTGGGAGTGTGGACCAGCTCCCTCCCAGCCCACAGTCCTTGGGGAAGAGAAGACGGGAAGGGAGGAGGTAGAGAGAGGGAAGGGGGAAAGGAAAGGAGAGGAGGGAGACAGAGAGAGAGAAGGGGAGGGAGGAAAGCAACACCCCCAGACACAAGTTCCCCATGGCTAAGTAGGCCCAGGTTCCTCCAACCCAGCTCCTTCTCCATCCTGTGATGCCCCACGTCTGGCCATTTCCTTTGCCTTGGGTCCCCACAGAGCAGAAGTCAGCAGCCAGCTAAGCATCCCACTGAGGGGAGGGGGGCCTGAGGCCCCGACTGCCCTCCCCTTAATCCTGGGTAGGGCCATGCCAGCTCGGCAGCCCCGGCCCTCCCTGTGCCCCCCCACCGGGGGTGGGCATTTTCCAGGCTCCCAAATCCTGGAGCCTGATCCAGTCATTAAATAGCAGATGGCAAGGCTAAGCCAGACCCTCGGAGCCCCCCTCCTTCCTGCCTCTCTCAGGGAGCCCTCCCCTGGCTCCTCCAGGGGTGCTCTGTCCAGCCCTGCTCAGGCACAGGACAGCCAGGGCCCCCCACCCTCCTTCCTCCCCTCCTCCCGCCGGGAGGGCCCCCCCCACTACCCAACCTAAAGGGGCATCCCCTCCTGGGATCCAGGGCCCTCCCCTGGCCCCCAGCACTCGGCTACAAGGGATCACTGATGCTTAGTACAGATTGTTGGCCCTTCCAGGGGCTCCCCAAGAGCAGCCCCAGTTGTGGCCAGGGATTAGGTCCCAGGCGCAGAACTTGGAGGGGGTGGGGCAGAGTTTCCCACTGAGGAGGCCTGGGCCGGGCTGCCTCGGGACAGGGGAGCGAGCTCCCTCCCGAAAACTAAGCGCGTGGCCCCGAGCTCTCTTTCAGCGCCGAGGCAGGGCCGTGATGTTCCCCCTCCTCAGGACCAGGGTCTCTACTTCTCCCCTTCAGTCCCAGAAAGCCAGTGACACCCCCACTTCAACCGGCTTTATCCAGGAGTCCTGCCGGGGCCCCCCTCCCCATCTGCCTGCAGATGCTCCCCACCAGCCCCTACCCAAGGGCGGACCCCGTGCGATGGCCGGGAGAGAGCGCGGGGATCCGGAGGCCCAGAGCCGAGAGGGGAGAGGGGGCATCGGCTCCTCCTTCCTGAGCTGCCCCGGGGGGTTCGCAGCCACTCACCACGGCCCAGGAGCTCCCGCGGGTCCCCAGAGGCCAAGAGAGATGGCCCGGGACGGCAGCGCACGGACGGGAGCGCACGGACGGCGTGCGGCAGCGCACGGACCAGAGCGCACGGACGGGAGCGCACGGGCCGGAGCGCACGGACCGGAGCGCACGGACCAGATCGCCGCGAGCCTGCAAAGAATGGAAGCGCCCCGCGTCAGGGCCACCGCCCGCTCCAGCTCCCCCGGGACAACGGAGCACCCCTGCGGATCCCCCGGGCCTGGAAGCCACCCCCTGCCTTCCATCTGAAGCCAATTAGACGGCGGGGACCCGCAGGCGAGGGGCGGCTCTGGGGGTCGGGCCAGTCTGGGACGCGAGTGGTGGGAGGAGGCGGGGGAGGGGCAGCTCAGTCCCCCGATCCGGGGCGGGGGGGGGGGGGGGGGGGGCACTAGGTGCGGGGGGGGGGACGTTCCTAATGCCGAACCCGAGATGCAGAGAGAGATGCGGGCTGGAGGCAGGGGGATGGCCGGGATGACGACCCACTGGGCGCAGGGGCTGGAGCAGGAAGGCTCGGGGGTCCTTCCCTCAACCCCTTCCCTGAGGACCCAGTTCGGGACTTGGAGATGGGGAAGAAGGTCAGAATCTTTCCCCCGGGTCCCTGAGGTCAGCACGTCCATCCCCCATTCTCTGAGCCCGGCAGAGGATGCGAAGGGCTGTAGGCACCAGAAGGGGCCAGCCACTTCCCTCCCCGTGCCCCCGAGCCCCTGCGGGCCAGGACGGAAAGTTTCCCCCAAGTCCTGGGGCCAAGTGCTGGCCCGTGGCCTCGTTGGCGCTCCGCGTGCAACAAGTTCCAGCCACCGCGCGCGATACAGGCGGCGGCGCCTCCACCAGTTGCACCGTCCAGGACTGGGGTGGTCGGCTCGGCTCCGCTCCGCAGCCTCCCGGAACCCATCCCTCGCTGCCCGAAGCGAATGAGCGAGCTACGTACGCGCGGGCGGAGGAGGAGGAGGAGGCGGCGGCGGCGGCGGCGGCGGCTCCAGTTCAGCGTCGGCTCAGGCTCTTAAGGGCAGACGCCGACGCCGACGCCGCCGCCACCGCCCAGCTGTCACTCAAATCCCGAGCGAGAAACGCGCCCGGGCTGCCTCCGGGGCCTTCTGGCCTACACGGGCCGCCATAGGTCCGGGCGAGACCATCAACGCGCCGGGGGGGGGAGCCTGGGGCCGCAGCCTCCCGCCGCCGCCGCCGCCGCCGCCGCGACTTGTCGAGGTCACGCAACCCGCGACCCCGGCGGCGAAGGACTAGAGCTGCGGGCCAGGTGGGGGCCCGGACGGGGGCGGAGGAGGAGCCAGGCCGAGCCACTTCCTGGGCGCCCCCATTCGAGATAGTGGGAGCGGCCGACAGGGGGCGGGGCTTAGGCACCGGAAGCGGAAGCGGGGCGGAAAGGGGGCGGGACGGCGCGGCCCGAGCTGAGGAGGGAAGTCCGGGCGTGTGCCCGCCGCCGGTGCCGCCGCCTCCTCACCCTCGCCATGATCATCCCGGTGCGCTGCTTCACGTGCGGCAAGATCGTGGGCAACAAGTGGGAGGCCTACCTGGGCCTGCTGCAGGCGGAGTACACCGAAGGGTAGGTGCCTCCCCGGGGCTCCTCGCGGCAAAGCCCGCAGCAGGGCCTTTGCCGGCAGGGCGCGCCTTCTCCGGACACAGCCCAGGGCAGAGGCGGATGGACCCGATTCAAATCCGGCCTCACCCGCTGACTAGCTGGGTGCCCGCCTCAGTTTCCCCACCTGTGGATTGGGAATCACAACAGGCCTTTCCTCCCAGGATGATTGTGAGGGTCCGCAAGCGCCTATGGGGTCCTAGTGGACCCCTGCACACCCAAGTCCAGGGCCGCAAAGCAGCCGAGGGGGCGGGGCGGGGAAGGGGGAGGGGAAGGGGGAGGGGGGAGGGACCTTCCTTCCGGCTCTCATTGCCCCCTTGCAGGGATGCCCTGGACGCGCTGGGCCTGAAGCGCTACTGCTGCCGGCGGATGCTGCTGGCCCACGTGGACCTGATCGAGAAGCTCCTGAACTACGCGCCCCTGGAGAAGTGAGGCCCCGCCCAGCTGTCTGCCGCGGAGGAGCCCGAGGAAAAGAGCCCCCATCGCCGATGGCCTTGGTCAGCTATCGGTCATGTGGAAGAGCCCCCATCCCTGAAGGTCCCCATCAGCTATCTGTCATGTGGAAGAGCCCCCATCCC